TATATATATATAAACACATTATAAAATAAATACCATTGAAATATACTCAAACATCAAACCTGACTTTTATGTCTTGTCGTTGTCAACTCACTTCTACTAAGTTGACTTTACATGTTTGTTTGATTGCCATTTAAACGTAAGTGTGTTGACACCGACTTGTGTCATTTTTTACAGCCAAATGTTCAAATTAACTGTAGATAAACAGTAGTCAAAGATAACCTGTTTATTTATTTCACGTTTTTCTTCAGTGAAAGCCTTCAGTGTATTTTGAGGACTGAAAAGTTTATCGGACAGACCAACTCAGAAGTGGCGGCTGCTGGCTCGACTCTGTCAGCTGGACTGAGTTTGTATAACAGAGAGAAGGACGGTCCGTGGAAGTACAGAGGGAACTGGTAATTGCAAATATTAATAGTGAAACTTTTTTCAACAAGACTCAGCTACCCCGCAGCAGCCCTGAAACACTAGCCCTCATCGTTTCTATTATTCATTACCAATAAATTACACAGTCACGCCGAAATTTAACATACTTGTTCGGCGTGTTTTTTGCTTTGCTCTTTAAAATGTGAGAAACGACGTCTTACCGCATCCAGGTCCGCCGGGTGTTTAAAGAGTAACATGGAGGGTATTTAAACAGTCCCGTCGCCTACAGAAAACCAGTCCGTCCGAGCTCCCGGAGACTCTGTCACACAATGGCGCTGATAGGAGGAGAAAACTGCCTCCGCTTACAGGAACGCTGCTGCCTTCAAGAGCTGCCGGACCCGCTCGCGAGGTGAAAAGCACGTGCGCTAATGTCCCGCACTTTAGTGTCATTTGCCCAAAGAAAACGAGTTTGTTAGGGTTATGTGGCACACATGAAAATCTACTATCGGATACTTAAGAGGGCTGATATATTTTCTTTTTAAAAGTTTCACTTTGACGGATCGACAAAATGTGCAGTAAGAATATACAGCCCTTAACAAATACGCTTTCTTTCCTTGTTAGGTGGAATTGAGTTTCTGAAAGTGGCTTTCCACTGAGCATCAGTTACACTCCCGATGCCACTTTAATTTAACAACTGCATAATTACCCTAATGCCAGAATCCATTTTTGTCATGGTTCATATATTTACGAGGAACACTTGAACGCCACAAGAGAAGCTGAAACCGAACAGCTGCCCCGAAAGGCAGCATCGTCAACTTTGCCCCGCCCACCCTTCCACCCACACACTCACTCGCTCTCTCTCACACACACAAACACACACAATGTCTTAACGCTGTGCGTTCTCGCTCCCACTCAGTGTAAGACTAGTTAATTAAACATTAATAACATTAGAAACGAAATTAATGCATTGTCAAGGCTTCTTATATATAAGCATTTTAATTACCCGTTTCAGATTTTTTTCGCTATTTCATATTGTCGAATGCATTAAAAAGATGAAATTCATTCATTTATTCCTTGATTAATACAACAGTAGTCAGTGGTGACGAAAATGAAGAGTGCACGGCCGGTGCCTTTTGGCTGGTTACTGACATCCATGCTACTCTGCAGCAGATGGCAGGGTGATGTCCGGTAAACTCAAACAAAACCCGGCAGTCTGCTCCGTGCAGACAAAAACACCAGTTCACCGGCGCATCCTGAGGCACAAAATGGGCACACAGACCGTTTGTGGCCCCGATGCCCTCTGTTGCACGCTGCCCAGTTGTGCCCTAATATAGCCTCATAACACTTTTTTAAGACAGGCGGCATGTTCCTAGGGCAGCCTTTAATCAACTTGTTGTATTTCCATCTACTGGACCTCAGTGTTTCCAGATACCAACTGTCAGTTTCTGTGGTTTTAAAGGTGGCAAAACAGGAATTAGACCTTTAAGGTACGCTGCTCACACCAGGAAGTACACAATAAAAGTCACCTGTGCATCTTTTCAAGATATTTGGTTTAGAAACTTTGGTGATGACAATGTAAGCTATGCTACAGCTCAATTATAACAAGCAGCAAAGAGGCTGTAAATATAGGTGGACACAAATTACAGTGTCACTCATTGTTTAGTAAAGTCCCGTCCTGTAAGTTTAAGCTCGCCATTTTGGCTATCAGGGTTTTTTTTTTAATGATTTTTTTTAAACCACATGTTATATGAAACAGGTTAGTCTAACTGAGAAATTTAAAAAATGGCAATCAAGTTATTTTTTGGTTATTTAATAATAATAATTAAAAAAGTGATGAGTCTGTAGCAATGTTTTCCAGCAAACTGATTAATTGTCATAAACCTAGAAATAATCTAGTAAAGCTATCTTGATAGCAGTGGACATCGCTGTTCTGCCAATCGCATATTATGTACGTGGCTACTACATGTATACATGCATTACGCCAAAGGCAGAGGAGATGAGATCTATTAGGTGCTCGCATACCATTCAGGCAAATAAAACACATATGTTTTATCATCTGAGATGGCGTCCCCGTTACCAAAGATGCAAAAACACAAACGAAAGAGGCAACGCCACCTGCAGACTAGACATGAGACCATCTATCTCTAGACAGTTGACAACATGCAGGCTAAACATTATGCAAGCTAATATTCAAAACTGCAGTTTTGTTTGATAACATTTTTGCATCGTATAAGAGTTTATTTGCGATATACATGTCCGAGTGCAACAATGCTAGATCCACTTTAAGAAATGTATCACTAACTGCAGCTAACAGAGGCTAACAGCAGCTAACACTGGCAAAAGCAATTGCACTTATACACTGAATTACTCCCTGATCCTGCCAACGAAGCTAGCCAGCCAATGATAGTATCAGCTGATACAAACAGCTCCACACTGTTTTCCAAATTTGGTTATGTTTAGTTTGCAAAAAAAGAAAAAGAAAACAACAAGAATCTGATACCTAAAATGGCAGATCAAGACTTTAAACCAATTTGTGATGCCACCGCAGCTACGTTCGTCTTTTCTTTACGGTCTTCATTTGCTAGAAGCTCCCTGAGCTCTGTCTTGTGCGGCTTACATCACTGTGTCGTTTTCTTCTCAGGCTCGTACATCTCTTCACTCAATAACAGGCTCTGGCTGGTAATTAGCAGATATTCAATGAAAATTTCACGACACAAATTCTAAACTTTCCCTCCTATCAACTTTCTAGTTCTTTCTCTTCTGTGTACCAGATTATAGGACATAAGAGTGAATGACAAACAACACTCCAAGCTTTTGGGGTCTCTTTTCTCTCACAACTCCAAAGACATCACAGCTCAATACACAATCAAATGCTTTTGCTTCTGCGACTTTTTACACAACTTCCATTGATTCCACCATGTAATGTTCCACTTGCTTCATTTATAATTCTGGCATAACAGGGTCTAAATTCATGCTTAGATAAGTGCTGAGAGGCATACAAAGTACAGTATTATTTAAACGAACTTGTTCAATGATTCAGCACTGAAGAACTTGTGGAAACAACGGATCAGACAGAGGTTATTTTTGGCAACAAGGATGTATCCTATTGTTTCTTAATCATGCACACAGACCCGAATGAAGCCCCGGCTGCTGTACAGACAACCAGTGGGTTAGCCAGGGTGCATACGTCGTTTCTGTGGTGAATGGAGATCTGATTTTAGTAGCGCGTTCATCTCTCTGGACTCTGAGTTGACTCATGAATGCAGAGCAGCGAGGAGGGATGGCTCTAAATAAAGATTTCAGGTCAAAAACAGGAAATGGCTCAGTGAGCAGGGAGGGCAGGGCCATAGCAACACCAACTGGAGAGAGCTGCACCCACAATATTCCTCCCTCCCTCATTTATCTATTTATTTCTCCTTTGCTCTTTTATTTCCCTTACTGAGTAAAACTTTTTGCTGATGCCTTAACCTTAATTTTCTTCCTGTGCCTCTGTTTTTGTCTCTCCGATTCTACATATTTTCCTGCCATTCAATTATTTCATTTTTTCCAAGGTTCTCATGTCAGACCATGAACTAGATAACTTACTCATCACATCTCAGGTTGTGTGTGTGTGTGTGTGTGTGTGTGCCACTATAACTGTGAACCTGACTCACGGTGAGTTCACTGGTCCAACTCAACACCCAGCGCATGAAGCTGCATCCATCCATCACCGCGCTTTCATCCATCACTGTGTTGCACCTTTGGGTGGTAACGCAGGGATTATGGCAGTCACCAGAATTAGATCACGAACATCATGTTCCATTTATACTCAGCAGGACAACACGAGGTGCATGTTCATATCATCAGGCTCTCTGAATTCATACAGACACACGAGCTGAAAAATGCCACCGAGCACAACAGTTGATTCACACTCGTGTGTCACTCATAAGTGCCGTTGACGTGAACAATGTATTGATTATGTCCTCAGTTGTGTATTTTTCTTATTAATACAGGAAGTATCACAGCAACTTCCAACCATCTGCTGGTGACTTATTCACTGAAGTAAATGCGGTCCTGCATGGCGAGCAGTCTTGAGTTTAGTTGCTGTGTTAAAGGCACATT